GTTGTACACAATTGCAGCACAACTTTACATTTCTCTGGTCATACACGATGTAGCATTGCACCATATGTGCAGTCATACATGTACCTAGGGTGAGGATGTCCATCTCATTCCACCATCTTTCCTGCCCCCATGCACCCTCCCCACCCGCCCTCCCCTTTGCCCAAAGTTCCTCCATTTTTTCCATGCCTCCCCGTTCCCTTTATGGATCAGCATCCACTTATCAGAGAGAACATTTGGCCTATGGTTTTGGGGGGTTGGCTTACTTCACTTAGCATTATCTTCTCTAACTCCATCCATTTACCTGCAAATGCCATGATTTTATTCTCTTTTAATGCTGAGTAATATTCCATTGTGTATATATACCACAGTTTCTTTATCCATTCATCTATTGAAGGGCATCTAGGTTGGTTCCACAGTTTAGCTTTCCTTAAAAGAAATCAGTAATCAGGGTTTGGTGTTTCTGGCCTATAATCCAAGCTATTGGGAAGGCTGAGATAGGAGGATCACAAGATCATAAGCCTGGGCAACTTCATGAGACCCTATCTCAAAAATTTAAAAAAACCAAACAAACATTGAAATAGGGCTAGGGATGTAGGTCAGTCGTAGACAATCCCTGGTACTGCAAAAAAAAAAAAAAATTATTAGTACATTAGTACTTTTGTCCCCCCCCCTTTCCATGACAATACAAGGTAAAGAAGTTGGTGAGACAGTTCTGTCAGTCAACTGTCCTTGGATGAAGCCCAGTACTGAACCACCCTCAGGAACATGTAGCGGATCTTCTCACATCCAGCAATTTTCCCACTACTTCCTTGTCATTCCTGGGACTTGGGAATCCTTCTATCCCACCTGAGCCACGATGGGCCCAGGGACCTTCACAAGGCCATTTGGGGCCCCTATCCATCATCACTATCTGACCATTTCCTCTCCCAGGTCTTATTCCCATTGTTGAGATCCAGCATGTGACATCTGTGTTCCCGTCACTTCCTGTTATCCCATTGTTTTCTCTGAAGTGGCATCTGGCACCCTCTTCCATGGACACAGGCCCACGGAGGCAGCAAATGTGGGTCCTGTAGGCTTCTTTCCCCCTCATTCTCTGACTAGTACTAATGGGAGAAAGAGAGCAGAGAACACCAGGAGAAAAAGGTAGATTTGTCTATTTATCATGACATCACTGTCATCATTGTTGTCATGCCAGCCTCTCTCCAAGGCAGCAAGTTTTCACCTGCATAGGCAGAGCAGGGCCCAATATCCCAATCACCCGCTGGCTGAGAGGTATGAATCTTGCAATAAACAAACGCTCAAAGAATATTTTTACTGAGCCCCTGTTGTGAAGGCAGTCATGTGCTCACAGCAAGGGGACGTGAGGAACTCACAGATGAGACCAGCACAGGGAAGGCTGGTGGGTGCGAAGAGTGGAGAATGCAGAGCTGGGAATCTGTCTCCTTTGGGGTCCTGGCTCTGTCACCAGCAGTAGGCTGGCCATGAAGAATCTCCCTGAGCTGGGCTCGGTGGTGCACGCCTGTAATCCCAGTGGCTCAGGAGGCTGAGACAGAAGGATCCTGAGTTCAAAGCCAGCCTCAGCAACTTTCTTGATGTCCCAAGAAACTTGGAGGAAACCCTGTCTCTAAATAAAATATAAAAAGTGCTGGGGATGTGACTCAGTGGTTAGGCATCTTGGATGCAATCCCCGGTACTGAAGAAAAAAAAAGGAGATCTCTGAGCCTCAGTTTCTGTCAATACAGGGGAACAATAATACCTATCCTTCCTATTTTGTAATGAAGTGGTCTCTTTCTTTCTTTTTTTCCCTTTGAAAGGACACTAAAGTTTATTTAAGTCCAAAGTCAATAGGGATCTTTTATTGCATTACTGAAATATCAGATTAACTCCAGGACTGTTTCTGTGGCTGAACACGCTCAGATCTTATTTATCAGCCTGCTGAACTGTTCCTTTTTCAGAATCATAAATGCCATCCAAAATTTTTCCCATATTCTTGTTTTTCACTATAGGGGCTTGCTGACTTAAAAAGGCTGAATTTGAAACAAGTTCAACATCATTTCAAAACTTCAATGATTAATTCATCTTTCTGAGCTTGAGACACTGAACAAGCAACACCTGCCCTCATCCAAACCCTGCAGATGTATTTTTCATCCAAGAAATTTCAGATTTCAACAAAGAGACCCATTCTCCTGAATAACGACGTTAATGGGGATGTATGCGTACATATTCCTCATCTTTTAATGGAAGCCCAGCATAACACCCTTGATCATGTTCTGTATATGACCACAGATCACGCGAACAGTGGCCAGTTCCCTTCTATTTCCCCACCATTTGTCAACCCGTAGCCTCTTCCTTTTCTTTCCAAGGAGGCTGAGTTCTACATTGATATGACTGAAATCCCTCCAGAGGGTTCCTCTTGAGCCCTTCACAATAACTGTGAGTCCCTTCAGAGTAATATCGGCATTTTCTGGAATGTCGACAGTGTGACTACTGAGAATGGTGTTCATTCTCACAGTAGATGCAGCAAAGAGAATGAAGTGGTCTCCTTCTACTTCAGAAATGGAAAGGACTCTGCACATATAGGGGTCATTATATTTAGTACAGGGAACAGTCAAGTTTGGGGACGGGGGACTTCGATTGGGTGGGAAGGGCCTTGAGTAGATAGACCTACCCAGGCAAAGCAGACCTCTGGTGATGAATTTCAGGAACAGGAGACCAGGTGGGCAGGGTTGAGGGAAGGAGTAGATAAGGGGGTGCTGGGGCTGGGTTTGAAGGGTTGCCAAAGCCCTTCCATGAGTTAGGTCTTGTTGGAGCAGACAGTGGGTGTTTAGCTTTTGCAGGTGTCTGAGCTAGGGCGATACCTAAAGGATGTGTAGAGATGGCAAAAGTGATTCACAGCCTGCTAAGTTGGTTTTAATTGGTAACATTAGGCCTTTTCTTACTCCAGTTAATGGGATCACCCCCCTAGCTCTAAAGCTGTCCTTGACTTCTCTGAGACATGCTTCCTCCTCTGAACACTATGGTGTCCTCTGGCTGGACTGTAACTCTTTGGCAGCAATTGCACCACACAGTGCTTCCTGGAAACATCCATGGTTTCCTGCTTGAACTTGCTGATTCCCTCAGACCACAGAGGTCTTTCCCTCCTGTGGCTTCTGGGTTGTGTGCCTCACTTATGGGGCTCTGTTCATGGAAGGCAGTGGTTCTCAGCCCTAGCCGCTTATTGGAATGACCTGAAAATTGGTTTTCAAAGTGTTTCCATGCCTACGTTGTATTTTAGATCAACAGCATTGTCAGCTCTGGGGTAGGACTCTGGCATTGGGATGATTTCTAAATACCCTAGGTAACTTCCATGTGTACAGTGGGTTTTGAGAATTCACAGCGGAGCACTAACAATTAGGCATTCTGCCTTGTGATCACTCCTTCCAGGTATGCACCGTGCACACCTGGAATACATCAGGGAACAGGAAGAAAGCAGTAGGATTTCAGTTTATATTTATTTTAAATCCTATTCTTTTTCAATGTGCAAGCTTTACAGTCACTAACTGTCCTGGAACAGTAGTTATGATAACAACTGTGGGCAGCCCTTGAGCCTTTACTGTGGCTGGGCTCTCATCTAAGCACTTTATGCTAAGAACTTAGCACTTTGCAAAAGCCAGATGAGGTGGGTACTGTTGTTAACCCCACTTTATAGATGAAGGAATTGAGCCCAGAAAGATTGATTACCTGGCCAAGATCACACCACACCACTTCACTTAGCAGCCGAGCCAAGATTCAAATGCAAGTGGATTCCAGTACTCATCTTTTACCCACAATGCCAGTCTGCTTCAATAAATCATATGCAAATAAGACACAGATACTGGGGAGATCTGCACAGCATTTTTTATTAATAAGGTTTCCTAATCAAATAACTAAACTACAGATGGCAGACTATGAGTCCTTGAGGCAAGCTTTAAATCTCACTCTTTGTTTGGTCCACCAGAGGCTAGCAGGCATGTGGGGTCCAATATATAATCAATAAATATGTGCACACTCCTGGAAATATCAGCTAACTGGTAATCATGACTAACATTGATCAACTCTTGCCACATGCCAGGGACATCATACTTAATCTTCACAACAATCCTGTGAGGCTACAATTATATTCAATTTGCAAATTAGACACAGAGCAGCTAAGTAACTTGTCAGAGTCCAGAACTTGAACCCAGATTGTGGCACTTCACAGCTCACTGGGACCCACTGTGAACAGGTCCACAGGGTTCATGCAGGTGGCTGGGTTCAGAAACATCAGGATGGAGGCAGAAATTAACTATTTACTCCTTCCAGGTGGTTCTTTTGCCAGGCAGGCCCTTCTCTGTTTGCTTGACAGGCAAACTCCTACCTGCCCTCAAATTCAGCTATGGTGGCTGACTGTGGTGACCTCCGGGAAGCCTGCTGCAGTTAGCTGCACTGCCTGGCTGTCCATGCCTTCTCTTTTAGGCGCTCCCTAAAGGCAGGGCTGGGGCTTACTCCAGGGAATCCATGGAGCAGGCTCGGCAAACCTGTGGGTGGGCTTGGCCTGTCCCCCTTCCACCACAGGTCAGAGACATCCCATTCCCTGGGCTTTTCCTCTGTGGGCGCCATTCCCCTTTTCTCCTCTTCTTCGCCCACCTCCTTCCTCTTCTTCCTCCCACGTGTCCTTTCCTCAACCTCCCTTCCTCCTCCTCCCTCGCCTGCTCCTCATCTCCTGCGCCCAGGGTGGCCGGCCCCCGGCCCGGCTCGGGGCTGCAGTTCTCCCGGCCGCCGACAGAGGGGGCCGCTGCGCAGCCGCGGGCCGCGCCCCTCCAGCGCGCGTTTCCTGTGAGGTCAGGTGGGAGGAAGCGGCCCGGAGCCGCCGAGTGGACGCCGCCGAGGCTCCGCAGCCGCGCACGCAGGTGGGTGTCCGTACTGGGGGAGACGAGAGACCCGGCACATCCTTCCCGGTCCCCTGGGCCTGGCCTCAGAGCCGGTGTCAGGCCCCGAGGCCGCGCTCGGCGCCGGGCAGCGTCCCTCCGCCGCCGCAGCCCCCACCCGCCGCGTCGGTGCACCGAGGGCCAGCGCGCCAGGGCCCACCCAGCGGGGGCGGGATGACAGAGCACAAAGAGACAGCGGAGGACCACTACCCGCTTGGCCTGCACCCGGGCCAGCAGGCTTCAAAAAGGAGGCCCGCCGGTGCCAGCCTCCGAGGCACGAGAACAGGGCTCTCATCCTCTTTGGGAGTGGGTGGCCCCGAGTGTTTTTGAGGGTTTAGGTGAAAATTGCGGTTCAGCTGTTCGCGGGCGGGGGGGAATGGCCTTTGCACAGACTCAGGGAGGGGCGTGGAAGGGCTCCCAGCTCAGGGGCGCCCTTGGGGTCAGCAGAGCGGAGACCTCCCAGTGCCACTGGAGCATTCAGCTCACCGTTTTGGAAAGGCTGGGCCCGGCCTCCCTTAGCAAAGGACAGACCATGTTACCAGACAGGTGAGGGGCAGGGAGGGGGCGTGCCCCCTCGCCGCAGAGGTCTATCTTTCCCAGCCAGTGTGATCGCCATTATGGTCTGTCGCCAGGCAGTGGACCTCAAGTAACCCTGAGTGGCCCGGATCTTTCAGGGGTTCCTGGCTGGAGAAGGCCCAGGTTCTTGGCGTTTGCTCCCAGGGGAGCAGCACCTGGGGCTCATTTTTGAATGGAAGGGGATTTGAGAGCTGGGGGTCCTGGTACCCTGGACTCTGTTTCCCAAAGAAGACCCTGGCACCCGGGGTGCTGCTTCATGCTCTCCCTCTGTTTGCTGCCTGGAGATGTAGGCGCCTCCACAGCTGCCCACATGCCCCTGGGGTGCCACCTGTGCAATGGCTGTGCAGTACCTACCACAGGAACACTGTAGGCCTGACAGATGTCAGGGGGGCTGGCCTTCCAGTCCCAATGCTGCTGCTGGTCCTGGATCATAATAAAACTCCCTTCTGCAGGAGTCCTTTCGGTGGTTTTTCTAGTGGACTCTGTGTCTGCCAGATTTTTGTCCCACAAAAAATTTGTATTTATGTCTCCCCCTTTTATTAAGCAGACAGCACCTGCTCAGGGTGGGTGACCAGGTAAGCTCCCCTGGTGCAGCAGTCGGCTCTCAATCTTTGGGAAATGTGTTTCCTTCAGGCTCTTTGAGGTCAGGGGAAGCATCATCCATTGGCCCTCAGGATCCTAGTGACAGATCACTAAGGGTTCAGGGCTAATGGGGAGGAGGGACCTCTGGCCACATGGTTTCTTCCATCAGCCCCCACCCTGGCCATGAATTACAGGTGCCGCCCAGTAGGGACCCACAGCTCCTGGAGGATGGTGCGGATCTTGGCCAATGGGGAAATTGTTCAGGATGATGACCCCCGAGTGAGGACCACTACCTCGCAGAGAGGTAGCTCTCCTCGGCAGGTAGGCATCCCCTGGGGAGGGGGAGCAGCCTGCCTTCTTTGTTACTCCTTAACTTCTAGAAGTCTCTCTTGCTGGTCATTAGCCTTCTCTAGCCTGAAGCCCTCTTTGGAAAGAGCTGAGCAAGGGAGCGCAGAGGGTCAAGACAGTGGGCAAATGCTGTGGGTTTACTGCCCAGTCCCTGTCTCCCCAGTTCTCTCCCCTCTGGGCGATTTTCTCCCCAAGAGCTCTCTCTCCTTTAACCTGGCTAGTGAATCCTGCTGCAGTTGGTTTATTTTGAAAGTCTGTTGGATGGGAGAAAACCTGGAGAGAGAGGGGAAGAGTTGAGCCCATGGCCACAGAACTATTTTAAAGAAGGGAGTGCCCAAGAGCTGTGCCCATGCTGAGTAACCCCTGCCTGGTCACTTCTTGTCGTCTCTGTCCTGGGTGCCTTCTCCCCGGGCATTATATTGGGAATTCACACTGGCATTTTCCGTACTCTGAGAGCTTGTGATCCAATCCTTGGGAGTCTATGGGTGGCATACAGAATTGCTAAGGAAGGAGGGAGTGGCCCAAGGTGGCTGTCAAGGAGGGCAGGGCCCAGCCTGGAGTTCCCTCCTGGCTGGTGCCTCAACTCCAGGACAGCTTTCTCTGGATTCATTTGTTTCTCTCTGTCTTCATCTTCCAGGGCTTTCTCAACAGGGGCCATGGTGTCCCCCCTGGGGGGACCGGCCCCCGCCCACAGCAGGCAGGTGCCAGGCTGGGGGCTGCCCAGTCTCCCTTCAATGACCTCAACCGGCAGCTGGTAAACATGGGCTTCCCCCAGTGGCATCTGGGCAACCATGTGGTGGAGCCGGTGACCTCCATCTTGCTGCTTTTCCTGCTCATGATGCTTGGTGTTCGTGGCCTCTTGCTGGTGGGCCTCGTGTACCTGGTGTCCCACCTGAGCCAGCGGTGACCTCGAGGGCTGACGGGGGTTGGTGTGTCGAGAGGGACTTGCTGGGCCTTGGTGTTGGAGCAGGCATGTGGGGAGGGGACCATGAATTTGGATTGCAGGTATGGTGAGAGGGACCATGGGTTAAGCCGGAGGCAGAGGGAGGCTCTAGTCTAGCATCCCCAAGCCTAGGGTGGGCACCCTGGTTGTCTTGAGATGTTCAGGTGGTCTAGGGCCTCCATTAAGTGACACAAAACCAGAACAAGGCATTCTCTTTCCAATTCTCTTTGATCCTTTTGTGCCAAGAAGAAGTCTTAACTTGGTGCCAACGTGTTGGATGCCTCCAGGACACGAGCTGCCTTCTCCGTTACCGGGGAGCAGTACTGGGTCTAGGGCAGGTGGGAGAAGTTTCCAGACTTTTATAACACTGTTTTGTTTTAATGGTGTATTTTTATTGGCTACCTTTTATTTCCGATGAGGGGTACCGGCATTCTATTTATTGTGACATTTTCAATAAATAGATTTAAGTAAAAATGAGTCCATGTAAAGAAATTTATTACTAATCATGCAGCTGCACAGATCTGGAGAGGATGGTGAAGGTGGCTGGGGGCAGCTGGGCAAGGGGTGCGGGCGGCCGCAGGCTGATGGACCTAGCCTCAGATTCCTCACCCTCAGGATCTACTGTGTCCACTGAGGGAAGGCACAGGATTGGGGGCCAGGGCTGGGGGAGGACGGGCGGGGAGGTGGACACTGGTTCCATCGCTCCTGAGGTCTGCTGTGCTGCCTCAACAGAACCTTCTCCTGCAGGCGCCACATCCCCTGCTGCCCTTAAGGGGGTGGTGGCCTTTATCACAGACATTCCCTGGGGAACTTCATGTCACTGAACAGGACTCCTTTCTCAGATAATGTTTCCGTGTCTTCATTTCTTGGCAGTGATTGGGACACATGTTCCCTTTGTGATGGGCATGTGGGGTGGTGTCTGGCTTTCACCGTCCACTCTGGGGTCTGGGCAAGGGGAGGCTGGCTTGGCTGGTATCCCAGATGCTTCTTGTGGCATCTCCTGCCCTGGCATGGCCACCTGCCACTCACCTGGATCCTGAACTCCTGCAGCGCCAGCTGAGCCAACGGAGGGGAATTCCTGCCCAGCGCCCGTCGCGCCAGCTCCCCTCACCCCCAGCTTGTTTCTTTCCCCCTTTCACAGTGGACTCTCAATATAGAAAATGCCTCAGGGGCTGGGAATCACACTGGGGAGCACGTTCCTCAGGCAGCCTCTGCCCCAGATTCAGACTGGACGGGAGGCTCTGGCCTAGGTCTCCTCACTGGAAGGCAGGAGTGGGCACTTTCTCCTGTCCCCACCCACCTCCCCACCGTGTGCCGGGAACCCCAGCTGGGCTGCCTTGCAGACACTAGCCCCACCCAGAGGGCAGACTTGGGGGGTGGCTTCTGCTCCTCCAGGGCTGAGCCCCGGAGCCCTGTTAGGTTGGACCCACCTGCCTGGCCACGGAGCTCCTGCTGTCTGACTTTCATTTTTTCCTGCCCAGCCTCCGAGGAGCAGCTGACCTCAGAGTGCCACAAGTTTCAAGCCCTCGGTTCTCTAAGTTCTGCCTCTCTCCAGCTGGCCCTGGAGGTAGGGCCGCACTTCCATCTCCCCAGACAGAGGCAGACACCAAGCCTGAGATCATAAGCTACAGTTTTGCTACATCTTCCAGCTCCCTGTCCCTGGGACCAGAACGTGCCAAAGGCACTAACTGGGACTGGTCCTGTGAGACCAGGGGAGGCCATGGCTTGGTGGCTGGAGCCTCTGCTCGCTGGATGCCTGACCTTGCTGACCTTGACCTCCCATTTCTGTGGCCAAGGCAGCCTTTTGCCGGCCCTGCTCTGCTCTCTGTAGTGCACAACCTGGCACCCTTCACTCAGCCCCCTGAAAGCTGGTTTCCTCGCCACTACCAAGGTTGACACCGTGGTCCTCCTGCCTCTCAGAGCCTTTTAAGAGGTCACCCAAAGTGTGGAGGACAGGGCTGTGGAGATGATGACTGCACCAGTCTCTGAGCCTCCTTGCCCCATGGCTCCCAGGCCAGAGGCTTCAGCCCAGAGTGGCCACCATGTCCTGGGTACTTCGGGAACCCCTGGCTATGATAGGGCCAGGCTTTTGAGACTGGTGTCACCCCTCCCCAGCTGTTGGTGAAGTACAGCTGCTTCACTCTGCTCCTGGGAGCTGAGGGGCTTATTGCAAGTCCCTAGTGTCAGGACGGGGGGATGTTTGATGACCATGTGCAGTGCCTGACCCCCACCAGTCACTTTATACCACCATATTGTCTCTGAGCCTTTTGAAGTCCGCCCTCCGGGACATTCCTCTATTTGGCCTCTGGCTATACTCACACCCACCCTATCTGGAACCCAGTTACAGAGGCAGATTGCCAGACACCCCCCCCCCCACTGCAGGGACCCCCGGCATCAGCACTGTGAGGCAGAAGGCATGGAGGGAGGTGCAGGGGCGTGGCTGCCACTGCCCCGCCGGTGGCCTCCATACCGTCCCTGCTCCGCTGCTGTCATGAGGGGGCTGCAGCCTTCTTTCCTGTATTTTTAAGTGTTTCACAATCCATGGCAAACTGAGGAGAGGAGAAATCTTTTTGCAAAGGTCTCCGAAGGGCTGTACAGGAGTGTGGTCCAGGGCAGGAGGGGAGAGGGGACACTGGCAAAGGGCTCTGCTGCCAAACTAGATGGAGAGCAAACCTGCAGCTGTCCAGCGGGCACAGTGCTGGAGAAGCAGTGGACCTCCTCGTGCTGCCACCCAGGCCCCAAAGGAGTGAAGAGAAAGTTCAAGACGCAGAGGGGGAAGAGCTCCGGGGGCCTGACCAAGGGAGTGGGTGTGGGTGGCTGATGCTCTGGTTGGGCATGGGGGAGGGCTGAGACCAGGTGGCTTTAGGGACCAGAGAGTGGAAGGAAGAAGCACAAGCTGCTCAAGATGAAGCCTGAGAGCAGCTTCATAGCAACTGCCCAAAGCAGCCGGGCAGGGCAGCACAGGGCTGGGACAGGGACAGCGGACTGGTCTCCACTCACCTTGCTACCCGCTCTGCCCTCCTGGTGTGCAGGGTTCCTATTCCCAGCTCCATCTCTTGTCAACCAGTGACCTCAGGCACGTCCCATCATCTCCCTGGAGCTCCGGGTCCACCTGCCCTCAGGGTGGAAGATGGAGGGTTATCACTCCTCAGTTATCACTCATCAGTTCCAAAGCCACAAAGCAGTGGTCCTAAGACTTAAATTTTTTTTTAAGGCAACTTGCATTATATTTATTTTAAATTCACATTATACATTATTTTGCTGAGAGCCACGGCCGAGTCTGTATGGCCCCTGGCATTTTGCCAACAGTATTGATTGACAGGCGAGGCATTACTATCCGCCTCTGCCGCAACTTTTGAGTTCTCGCACTATTTTGGAGTTCTCGTGGGGATTACCCGGGATTCCCCAAGAGTTCCCATTGGTTGGGGAAGTGCAGGAGGAGGGATTTCCGGGAGAGATATTTCCGGCTGGGGGTTCCTGGACAAGCCTCGTGGCGTTAGGGAGGATTCCCCAGGAGCTGTGTGAAGTGTTTTCCTGCAGTTTAAAAATAAAGTTTGTTCCTGCTTCAGTGGCTCGTGATTTGTGCCCAGCCAGACTGCAGCATTATTTTATAAAGGAGGCCTCATATCCCTCTTATAAATGGAAAGCCAGCAAACTCGCCATTCCTAGTAGGTATCCACACAAGTAAATCCCGGGCAGGGAAAACGGCTCTCTCGCATCTTAGCTGGCCACTCAGGGTGTCCAAGGCTTAACCCGACGCCTGCTTTCTTTGTTTAAAAAAGCTTCTTAAAAGGACTTTTTAGAAGGGTGTTGAGGGCTCTCTAGCACCTTACCCAGACACTCCTGGATGGGCTCAGGGTACTGGAGAGAAACGAGGGAAGTGACTTTCTTCTGGGTGACTCGGAGCTGTCTGTGAAGGTCCCCCTCCTCTTGTTCACCTGCCCAAGCACTCCTCACCCTGTCAGGTCTCACAATGTCCCCTGAGCTGGGAAGCTCTGCGTGATCCTTGTCAAGCTGTTTAAAACAATTTAGTCTCCTTAAGGCATTTTCATGGCCCAGGGATCAGGCCGTGCCTATGTAGACAGAGAAGAGTCTCCATCCCTCTGGGTCCCATGCATCCATCCCCCTCCATCCTGCCACTGCTGTTCTTAGTGTCTTCTAAGTCCTTCTGGAACTCAGTTATTCAAATATGAGCAAACATGAATATTCTAATTTTTATCATTTTTTAATACACATCATAGAATATCAGACACCTTTTTCTGGCCCTTCACTTTTTTTTCTCTTAGCAACATGCCCTGGACACATTTTATACCGAGGAGCTTCAGAGCTGTCCCTTGTTTGGTCTCAGCAGTCATCTGTACCATGGGAGGTGTCCTGGTTGACCCCCAAGGGCCTTGGCAGTGTGGGCCCGGCCACTCCGTGGGTGGATCTGACAGAAATGCCTTCACTTTTCCAGGACCAAGGGGGAAGCTCCTTGGATGGTTTAAGCTTAGTCCCAGGCCCGTCCCCCAGAAGCATCTGGGTGCCAGAAGAAGTTGACCAAGGAGTAGCCTTGGAAGTTTCCGCCTGCTTGGTTTTCTGGCCCCATAGCAGTCAGGGTGTGATTTCTGCCCTCACCTGAAAGCTGTCCTCCTGTCATGCTGCACCCCAAAGAGGGCTGGGGACCCTTAACCACGCTGACAGCGGTAACCCTCTCCAGGCCAGTTTCTGTCCTGAAAAAACAAGGGCCAGACTAGAGGTTTTCTGAAGCCCTCTTCCTGCTCTAGAACCAGAGATACTGGCTACGGGCCCAGCCTTGCCTAAAGGAGTGTTTTTGTTTGGGTACCAGGGATGGAACTCAGGGGCATTTGATCACTGAGCCACATCCTCAGCCCTATTTTGAATTTTATTTAGAGACAGGGTCTCACTGAGTTGCTTAGTGCCTTGTTTTTGCTGAGGCTGGCTTTGAACTCCTTGATCCTCCTGCCTCAGCCTCCCCAGACTCTGGGATTACAGGCGTGCACCACCGTGACCAGCTAAAGCAATGTTTAATAGACTGCTGCGATCTAGCTGGGCATTGCCAGTGTTACAGCGCCCCTTCCTCTGCCACCCTAATTTTGATGAATATCTGGATTAAAGGAGTTAAGGGAAGACACAAAGAGCGACCCACCCCAGGTCTCTCGCTGTGAACTGGCTGATAAATAGATTCCCTTGTAACCAAACCAGGAGACCCCAGCCAATTTGGCTTGTGGACCTGAGAGTTTGGAAAGTTAGCCCATGGCGCCACCTGGTGGACTGTCTGGTGGAAGCAGGACGTCCCTCCATGGACCATCTCCTCCTCCTGCCCCAGGCAAGAGCTCTTCTCAGTCAGCCTGGGGTTGCCCTGACTTCCTAAGTTCCGTGATGATACTGCTGCAAGATTTCTTTTGGCCAGTGTGAGCAGTTCCACAGTAATCCCTCACTGCGGCCTCGTCCGGGCTGAGCCTCATGCCAGGAAT